ATTCTGTCTTTTACTTTTTATTCCTCTGTTGGTCTGCAGCCTTGAAGTATTATTACCCTGTAAATCGATAAAGATGATGTATGAGGCATCCACTGTTAGTGGTATAAACCCTTCTGTTTTCTGTGATATATGAGGATGTATCAAAATGAATGGAGCACCTATTTACTGACTTCCTTTATAGTGAAAACAGACACACACAGTACAACAAAGCCAGCTACTTAGTAATACCCTTAATGTGGGGTATTTGCAAACGTTTGCTTTTATGAGATGTTGTCAGCAGGCATGACATTTTGATTGAACACTTCAATTTCCCTCTCAATGTTTCATCGCATCAGTGGCCATCATAACATTAATAAAGCATATCTTTTATATAACTGACACATGTTAAATTACACACCACCCAAATTAGGTTTGATGGCCAATTCAGACATTATCAGGGCAACACTGTGATGGATGCGCAGAGCAGCTCATGCAACCTAAAGGTTATAAATATCCTCTGCATATGTTAGTCTAAAAATCACTATTCCACTGATCAAATCTGCATCTTGCTCAGCTTTTGTGTTTGTGCTCCTGTAATCCTAACTGAATGCCTGTCTACCCAAGCCAGGTGGTTGTGCGATCTATATCTCTCCTCACAATCGTTATTTTCCATTTGAAGGCCCCTCTGCATTTGTGTATTCATCACTCTCACCTGGGGTTTGCCTCAGTGAGATAAATGCTTAGGAACGGATCATTAAACAGAGCTTTGGTCTGTTGTACTGAAATGGAAAAATAAGATTAGAGCTTTATGAGAATGTAAATAGCATATCATTGTTTACCTGGATATAATAGACATTTGAGGTCCAGCTGTTGCTCAAATAGTGACCATCACAAGTCATTATCAAGAGCTATTTCACAGAATAATATTAATTGAAAGATGCAGAGAAAATGTGTAGTAAGTGAATGTTTAAAGTGGTCTTATTATGTTTTTTTGGGTTTCCCTTTATTGTTCTTTCAAAGGTTAAAATCCCAAAGTTCCCTCCATAGGGAGTTTCTCTCTCACACACTTGATTCTACTCCTTTGTTTTCTTCTGTAAAATAGAGACTATCACTACGTAACCCTCGCCCTTCTATTGACTCTTCTTACTGTTCTCAAGGCCAGAATCAATGTCTCCTATAGCTATTTAAAAATGTAATTATCCTACAATCCAGCCATATTACAAATAAATTGGTGAAACTTTTAGGCCCAAACAAGTTCCCTTTCCAACATTGCAAGATGTACTGTCGTTACTCCATTGTCATTCTACTCATGAGTTGTGGCTGCCAATCAATATCTTATTATTAAGCCTCATCAACCTCACTCTCGATACAACTATCCTGATGCCAGCGCCAATATATGCCAGGATGCCAACACTGGCCCAATAGTTTTACACAAACAGCCGAGTTTCTCCTCCCCCCCCTCGACACTCATAAACTCATTACTGTTTTTTTATTGGATTCCACTCGTTTCTCAAATGAGACACTTATCTTCCAGAGACAGGTATGAAAGTCAATACACTTTACAGTTTGTACACACAGACTGGTACCAGGGGCTTTCCGTGTGTTCGCGCTGAGAAAATGTTCAGTGTAGTAATATTACATTTGGGTTACAGTGGAGGTTTGGTGTCTAATCCTGTGTTCCACCACGGTCCCCACTGGCAGGGCTCAGGCTGTTCATGTGAAGGGCAGAGCCATGTTTCGAATCAGCAAGTGTCCCGATAGTCTTCTCATAGCTCTGGTAGTATCGTCCCTTTCCTCCGCCTTTTGCTTTGATGTGGGCCCTCCTTCTAAGGCCACCAGCGATGGGGGAATAGCCTTTCATATGGGAAATGCTGCTCAGTCTAATCCGCCAATATGTTTTACTATGACAAATCCCCTCAACGTATTGATGTTGATTCAAAAGAAGAAAAAAGTTGAGGGCAGCAGTTTGTCTCCCCTAAGGTTCTTTTCTGTTTTCCGGGTGGCGCGGTCTAGAAGAGACTGTGAAAAATATTGGAAGAGGAAAGGAGGAAGGTACATTTTCCTCGGGAAGTTAATGAAAGTCCTTGAAGTGTGGCAAGGGAAGCTGTCACCTGCCCTGGTGATAGATAGCAGGCTTACTATTATTAGCATTCCCAGCCCCAGCCTAGAGTTGTATGCCTTACTAGAGCCATTTGTTGATTAATTAATCAGGTAATGTATGCTATCTGTGCTACAAAAGCACCCACATATCTCTCTTGGCCTCTCCTGGGCACTCTGTGCAACCACAGAGCAGGATCCCCTACCAGGCCACAGCACATTCAAGAAAATTACAATTCCAAATCAGCCACTGCAAAGATAAAGCATATGTGACCCGCTCTATCGAAATCATTCGGAAGTCGCAACGGCTCATTTCAAAATAAACGTGGATTTACGTAAAAAACAATTTTTTCGGGGTTCGGGTGTTTTGTTTGATTTTAAACAAACAAAGTCTTGACTTTTAGAATATGAAACTTTTATTTCCAAAATCACACGATAAATACATTTTTGAAGCTTGTAAAGGGAAGATGACAGGCACCTCTCACTCGCAATCTGCTCTTCCGCAGCGCCGCCCCCCCTCCCTCCGGCTGACATTATGAATGTAAGCGTATAGTAATCATAGATAACACGGCAGGGTCCGTTACAGTTTGTTTTCATCTGATTTCAATTAAACAAAGTCTTGGCTTTCAGAATATTAAACTTGTTTCGGCAAATTCAGATGATAAATACAACTTTGAAGCTTTTAACGGCATAATTACAAGCAGAGAACGGAGTAACTTAACGTCACAGCAGGCATAACAACAGCCGGTGTATCTCGTGAGTGGTTTCCCCGGGAAACAAACACAATACACACAAATGCAAAATTACACACACACACACACACACACACGTATTCACACACACTCGCGAGCTTCCCCTCCAAACGAAAATATCTTCCCTCCGTAGTATTTTGATCATTTGCTCCACTAATAATCAATCAGATCGATGGATTCCAGAGAAGAGAAAACTTTGAAGGCCTTTTTCTCAAAATGATGACTCTGTGACGGTCATTATATAATGTGACATATTTCGCTTAATATTTGGAGTACAAAAACAATCCTGATATCATTAGAAAGCTAGGAATATCCTCTTTCCAACAGTGTATACAACTCAAAATGTCTTTGGGTCAATGCGACTGATTTAGATAGAGCAGGTCACATATACTCAAAGGTCTTGGCTGCTTTTAATGTAAAGTAGAATAATAAACATCCATGAGGGAAACACTCCCATTTCATGAATATATTCACTTCCTCCGGCCGAAAGTCAGCCTTGTCTGATGTAATTATTTGTAGCTTTCAGGGAAAGTTTTTAAACTGTCAAATGAAGCTCTGCTATGAGGAAGGTAACAAATAAACTAGGATTGATGCAGGGCTTAATGATTTCTCCTGTTTCTCTGTGTACAATTGAAAAGGGCCGCACAGAAATCCCACGTGGAACATCATATAATCAATGTCTGTGTGTACGATACAACAACATCCAGTCACGTTATGAAATACAATACAACAATCAATACAATTCCAGTCCTTTACTGTGATTATATTTATTGACTTTCTTATTTCGTCCCCTCATGCACATATACTTTCATATATTGCCTTGTTGGTGCCAACCTGACAAACTGTTACCTACAGAAATGGTGGATTTGTTTGCTTATCATAATACTTGTAAACATGGTGTTCCAATGGTTATTCCCCATATACACCGTGCACATACTTATATTGAGAACCAGAGTAACACTGTATACTGCACATGGTGTCATATTGGCTTCCATCTCCCTGCGCAACATGGCCATCATGTGCCTAAATATCTGTCTGTAGTACTTCCTTCTTCTGTATCCTGACATTTCGCTCTTCCTGCACAGCTGGCAACATTGTGGAGCGGCAGGAAATGACATCATACTTTTATGATATTGCCTTTCCTGTTCTGTCTCATCAGAGAGTTTACCCTTTATTTCTAGACTCTGTGCACAAGTTGTGTGTGTGTGTGTGTGTGTGTGTGTGTGTGTGTGTGTGTGTGTGTGTGTGTGTGTGTGGTGTGTGTGTGTGTGTGTGTGTGTGTTGTGTGTGTGTGTGTGTGTGTGTGTGTGTGTGTGTGTGTGTGTGTGTGTGTGTGTTGTGTGTGTGTGTGTGTGTGTGTGTGTGTGTGTGTGTGTGTGTGTGTGTGTGTGCACATGTACTGTACTCCCTGTCAACTGCATGCCTCCTATTCCTCATCATTTTCTCACACCCCTGTCAGCCCGTCATTTATTCGCCCTGCACCATGCTACGTGGACCCGAGGAATTTACGATCATTGGCTTGGCTTATTCTCACCTCGCTGTAAAGCTGTAACAGATTTACTGCCACTGGTTTGTCACTCCCGTCATTAAAATGTAAAAGTTTGCGACACTGCATAGAAAGTTACAAATGATGCCGGCGAGCTCGGCTGTTTCCTCCACTTACATACTGCCTGGTTGCAGGTAGTTTGTTCCCTCCTCGAAAACTAAATCATGAGCTGTCACTGCTCCGATCATTCCAAGTAAACTCCACAGCTCAGGGAGGAATGTGGAGCTGATCCTCTTTTAAAAAGAACTGGATTTTCTGCCATTTTCTACATTTCAGACACACTGAATCGTTCTGCTGTCCTGCATGCGCATCGGCAGGGAGGGAATTCTGTTATCTTTTGATATGGCTTGATGCATTTTGATTGCATTTATATGAAAAAGGCCATGTTTTTTCTTTCAATAACGAATGGGAGCCTGGGGAGACTCCTCCTGTGCTGTCATCCCACTGTAAACCCCACCTGAAGATTTTGACAGTTTGACACTTTAATTTCCTACCGAGTATTTCACCTGAATTTCCCCGGACAAAGAAGAGACATGCTGCTGTGGAAAGAAAAATATCCATATTAGGTTGGAAATTATTAAAAACTGGGCCTCAATTAAATCTTCTCTGACTTCTCTTTAACTCAGGTTTGGAAAACAGCGACCAGGAGACAAGATGGAGAGGAAGGGCTCCAGTAAATCTAAAGCTGAGGACATGCAGGCGTCAGAGGACGAGACCCAGCGGATGAGGCTGGAACAAGAGAGGTGAGTCTTGGCTCGCTTAAAGCTCAAACAATTAGGACCCAGCTGAACTAAGAAAAAACCCACTGCTGACCAGAAAATTAGCAAACTAACTAATTAGCAAAATGGCAGAGCAAGGTTGGGAAGTTCTGGGAAAGTACTCTGATGTCAATTTGTCAAATGTCCCTTTCTTTTATATCAGTACATTAAATAGATCATTTATGGATTGTTGTTGGCCGTGCCATTCAGAGGTGCTGACCTCTTAATGGTGCTCGTAGGCCCCTGTGGATTTGGCATGATTGAATGGTGCTCATTATAATAGTGAAATCGATATAGCTCTGCATTTGTCTTCTCCTGCAGCTCGACCAGGTTGTTAATCGCTCTGGAATACGCCTTCCTTCTAATCCGCCCCTCTTGGCTCTGTGTCCTCTGGTGTTCGTGGACATCATGACGTCCAGAAGAATAAGGCGAGGCATTGGTTTTGCCGCGTGCACCTCATCCCTCAAAGACAAGCCCCATTTAATTCTCTCCAGCAGCGAAGACAATATTGGTGGCAGGGTGAATGAAAAGACAGCTTGCTGCCTCCATTGTTCTCAAGCAGCCAAATGAACTCAGTAATCAAACTGCCAATGGTAATGACAGCTAATTGAATAGAAACAATAGAGCTTGATACCGCTCCCTCTTACGACGAAGGGAGAGAAGGATGGATGAGAGAAGGATGGATGGCTGTCTCAAATGCACACAAACACAAACAAGTGCACACACAACAAAAAGGCTCACAAAGGCCCTCTCCCTTGCTGAATGGAACATCTGGAGGCCTTGCTCAAAAAGCTGTAGCACATTTATTTTTGGTATTCAACTATGACTTTCCATGATGGTCCTCTCCTCTGTGCTGAGGGTGCGAGCGCTTCTGGCTGAGGGCCCAACACATTTCCCTCAGTGCACCCTGGAGACCGGTGGGCCTGGCTCTCCATCCAGATCTGTTCCCTTTGAGGAGCTCCCAAACGCCTGTCAAGCTGAGCAGCAGAATCAACACAGACACACAGCGGGCATGAGATATGTAGAGTACATGCCTCTCCCCCCAACACACACACACACACTATTTAAATCCAACTTATTTTCTCACTGCTGTCACCCAATTTCTTTGTCTGCTACTTGGTCTTGCAGCACGTTCTCATTCCCTGTCTTGTTTGTGTCCGTTCTGCATGTGTGAGCTCCGGTCCTGGCTCCTGGTGCAGGAGGGCAACCTAATTCTTTCTTTTTGTACCTGTTCCCAAATCCTATCACTCAGCCAGGCCAGGATTGTCCCTCAGTTAATGGAAAGGGTGTCCTGAGGGAAATCGTGCTGGGTAATAATAAACCAACCTGCCATGAAGACAAGTCGATATTCAAAGCATTAGGGTTCAGCAGGACGACAGCTCAGAAATCCATTACTTCTTGTATTTTTTGGGTATCACTACTGTTTTGCACTCCCAAGGTGCTACGTTTGATTGTCTTAGTTCTCTGCTCTAGGCACATGCTGTGATTGATTTCCATGCTGACACTGAGACAGGACCATTTCAGATTGCCTTTATGAAATTATGGATCGGACCGTAACGGGTTTCCGACGCTGGCAATCGTCAGCACGGCCCGGGATGGGACCCAGCCAAACTCCCGGCGCCGCTGACATTAGCGATCATTAATTCAAGCAGACGGTTTTGACAGGGGCTTTTAGTGATTCAAAATAGGAGTCAGCGCAGAGGTGAGACAGATTAATTCATAAAACCTGCCCTTTTTAGCCTGCAATAAGGCCGCTACGGTTATATATTTAAAACTCTGACCTTGATATGATTCATGCAATTTATGGTTTGGCTTGCGGTCCTTGCAGATACAACCTCCTTTATTTTGATTAAAAATGTTATCCTCCATTGATATCTTGTCAGCCTGTTATGGATTGAAGATGATGGAGAAGAGTACATTAAGTTTGATTTCATTGCCAGAGCACAGGGCAGTGCACCCACTTGATGAAGAGCGGTTATCAGCAGCATTTGTTTTGCCAACGTTTGGAAGGTTTTACAGAGCTCCTGTGATTGACTGTTTCATGTCTCATCAAGGCGACATTAGAACCTGTGGTTACTTGACTGATCGAAATCTTTGTTCAGCACAGCGGTGGCAGCCATTACGCTGGTCTCTATGCCCGTGGACAGCACCCAAGCCACCCCTATCTGATTGGCTCATGTTGTGAGGACTGTGGAGACAACAAGCTCTGTGATTGGACCTTGGGTAGCTTGGAACGCAGCCGTTTCCGTGGCTATGGCCTTTATTCATGCAAGCCATGGGGGAAACGAGAGAAAGAAAGAAACACAGGGCGGGTGGTGTTGGTGGAGCTTGTATCAGTCTCTGACTTATCTCTGCACGTTAGCCCTGAAACTATATTTTTCCAGCCAAAGAGGGATGCACACAAAGACAACTTGACAATGTCCCTTCTTCATTTTCCGCCTGAACTGAACTCCATTCACTCTGTCTTTCTCTGCGGCAGCTGATTATGATGTCCATTCTCTCTTATCAGCTTGGCTCCGGTTGGCTTCTAATCAGCGGCCAGCACTCCACTGCTGCTCTCCTTGTACCCACTCCCAGACCACAGCAAATCACTGTTTTTTCATCCTCGACAGTGGCTTCCTCTTGTTTGTTGTTTGATGTCCTGCTGACTCTGGACAAACAAAACTTGACCAGTGATTCTCGAGTGCGTCCGTCAGCACAATTCATATTGACGAACAGAAAACTTGGATTAGTCTTGATAGATTTGATCTTCAATTCAGATGATGAGAAGTTTGTCTCTTACATCATGTTCGGGTTACATTAACTATTATATAAAATAAAGCAATATCCTCTAAGGCAGATCCTTCTTTTTCAGTGTTTTTGTCAGTAATTGTGGTACAATCTTTATCATTTCCCTTTGTAAAACCATCTCATTATTTCAGTATCCTATTTGAGCTTCATTTGCATAGTGAGTTCAAAGAAGGCTCCAATGAACTGATTGGGAAGTGTGATTATACTTGTAATTATATTGATACCTACAGCAAGTTAATGCGATTGTTAACACTGTGAATTAACATCACGGAACTTGGACAATTATCTATGTGATTACATTATGCTGTTATGGGCCAAGTGTCAACACAAAAGATGGGCTATCGGTGGTTTGCGATTCTGCACAGACAGCTGCACGCAGGCTCATTTAATGCATTTTGATTCGATTTATACACATTCTGTCCTCCATCTGCACTCCAGAACAATAGAACATGTTTTGGTGAGGGGGTATTAGAAAGAAAAATCCATTCAAGGCGGCTCAATGAGAATGTAAGAGAGCAAATGCATTCTGTTTCATCTACCAAGGTAACAATGCATATTAAAGAGGCAGGTTTTCAAGCTTCTAAGTGTTGACTTCAAAATGTGTGTCTGAAAGTACAGACAGCCCCCATACCCCCTTCATCTTTGTCTCCCCTCGCCTCCCTTGGGTAGATTACACGTTGACAAACATATGGAGAAGGAGTCTGTTGGATTTGTTGGCAAAAAAACCCGGCTTTGATGGATTTTGAAAGATGTATTCAGTTTGGAGAACTTGAGGTGAGCTTACATGTTGCTATCGTTTCACAACTCTTCTTCTGAAATGAAGCTGCAACAGTTTCATTGCAAATTCCATTTCAGTTGATGTGAAGGAATTCTTACTCAATGTAGTGACAATGAAAGGCTAGTAAAACATAAAGGGAGAACAACAGTTTGAAGGGGGATAGGTTGAATAAAGGATGATGCTGGGTGTACATACTTTTACTAAGACATGGTCAGTCGGTGGATGAGGGATTGAACTTGAACTGCCCTGAAAAGCTCTGATTTAGTCTGTCTAGACTCTATTTTAGCCAGGAGGAAATGACTTTCCACTTTACTGTTTTGAAGAACAAGCAAGTAGGCATTGTATTATATTTAAAAGAAAATTCAGCATTTAAAAAAAAGAAAACATGTGTAGACATTAAATAGAGACAAAAGAAACTGAGGAATTAGTAATATAATACTGGTTATCTTCCATTCTGTCATCAGTAATTAAAATGAAAAGGGAAATCCACAGTTGGGCTGCAATGAAGCACTACAGATAATGGTCCCCTTTTTAAAATAAAATATCCCCGGGCTGGTTGCATTAAAAGCTGCAGTGTCCTCTCCTCTCAAACATACTATCTGGTAAGAGGAGAAGACAGGAGGAGGGCTGGTAATTGGGGTTGTTCAGTAATAATGTGTTTAGTGTGGGCAGCAATTTCCTCTATGTTAACATGCTGGGCCATTAATTGGCTAATGGAGTATATATGGTAGAGCGCGGGGGTGGTGTCTCAGGAGAAAGTGGGGAGAGGAGAGGAGTTGAAAGCAGTAGTTGCAGGTTCCCCAAGAATAAAACAGTTCGCAGGTGAGGATGTTTGCTTTCGGGCTTATCAGCATATTACAAAGCAGAACAACCCCGGTTTCCTAGACAATATTTATATAATTTGCTTGATGTTTTTTCTGAAGCTTTGCATATATTAATACAGCTGCTTCAAATGTTTTCAGGCAGTTGAATGGGGATTTTCAGAGGATATCAGCCTCATAAATATAGCATAGGAAGGGCCTGCTACATCTACTTAGGTGTAGAAAGCCATTATCAACTAATACAATGGTGGATCACCGCCACAAGAGGATGCCAACCTGCAATGGTCGTTTTATTTGATTAGAGCAAATGTGGATGTGTGTCCCGTTTCAATACAGAACTCAACACGTTACCTTATTTTGATTCACGTAACATGCTTTACTTACTTACATCACTTTTGTTCACTAACACACTTATTTGAACCCATACTATATTTTCCTTAACCTTCCCAAGTTATTCCCCGAGGCCTCAAACACAGATGCATAGGTCTATTGTAGTTTTTTAGTTGAAATATTGGATTGGACGATTTGAACCAGAAGCTTAATTATGAATAAATAAGTCAAACACTAAAACACAAAATGGAGCCGACAGTAATAACGTTAATGGCTAAAGCATGACTCACATAGTATCTCATTTGGTATTTGTGATTGTTAATGTCCTTTTATTGAAATGCACCTATTAGCTTTATCAATGTCAGACTCCCGAGGCCTCAAAGAGAAGTCACTCTTATAGCTTGTCGCCAGTCTAGCCAAGGCCATTATCTCTCCGAAATGTCAATATTTCCGTTTTTATTAATCTGATTAGTCCATAAAACGCCTCAGGGTTCTGAGATCCCAGCGGACTTCCGTGAACCTGTGGTAACATCATTGTCTGGTGCTTCCTGGCACACATCTGACATCACTTTAGCCAGATGGCAGGTGAAAGGGCTTCTGGGAATTAGTGTTTTGCTCCCTGTGAGGCTTGTTTTTTGTTTCCGACAACTCAAGCTAAAGTGAGAGCACAGCGAGCGAACACAACCGTGCTGTGAGTTGATCATTTCCATAATGTACCTGGTCTGTGACAATTCAAAAATACACCTAACCAGCTTAGAGACTTCATAATATCACTGCATATCATGCAACATTGCATCAGGCCTCCATCAAAATCTCACTCTGCAGATAATGCTGAGAAAATGGGATTTTGGACAGCTAAAAATAAACAAGGCAGTCTATGGGTAGGATGTGGGAATTGGGTTAATTTGGCATTGAAAAAGGATGATTGTTTAAAATGTGATTACTTTTATTAAAATACACAGACATGGGCGAGAGTGTTAGGCTATGGGGGATTCTAGGTCTGTTCCAAACCTGTCAATCTTCTGTGAGCAGCAGCGGGGGGCGGGGGGGGTCAAAGGTCAGTTATGACCTGAGGTAATAGGGAAGTCTAGCACCAGTGGGAGGTAGCGTGCTTGTATGGTTGTGTGTGAATGTGTGTGTTACCCTACAGCAGGGATACAACATCTGGAACCACTGAGCAGACTGGTGGCTGCGGCCAGGGTCACCGCAGTGGGAGGTCAATTTCCCCCTCTGCCTGTCCTCAGCCCCTCTTTTACTCCCCACTGTCCACCTCCTCCCTCCACCAACGCCAGCACTCCTTGCTCTCATGCAGCTCCATGACTGAGTCTTGTTAGCTGTGGACAGATGGGCATTCACATGGAACCATTCTTTAAGACAGGAAAGGCCCTGTGAAAGGCCCTGTTGTGTGGAAGTGGTCCCGGTGAGAGGAACGGCACGGAGAGAGAGGAAGGGGCTGGAAGGAGGAAGAAGAGGTCTGAATGTCTCTCTCCTACCTCCTCTTGTTAAAAGACCTGAGGGGTAAAAATCTCTGGCTTTTCTGGCTCATGGAAAGCCACACATTTAAATAAGACTCCTAATCTTATTACGCTACAGAGGAAGACATTCTTTTCAGTCCTCATTCTCTGTTTCTCAGGACAAAAAATACGATACTTAAGAAGTTTGAAGAGAAGACGTCTGGAAGTCTCTCTGAGTTGCCTCCTTCCTGTTCATTTATTATGCACTTGCAACTCAATATCTCATATACAATAAAGTGTCACTTGTTTCTACATATAGGTCAATTAAGTCCTCATTAGAAAAATATTTTACATTTGTAAGAAAGCATCTTTGTCTGAGTTCCCATTCAAAACTTATGAAACATTTAAAATTATCAAAAAACAACATAAGTAGAGCTGGACCAAATCGTATATAACTTTCCTGAGTATAAAAATAAACAAACTCAAAATTCAGGAATTTGAAACGGTTCTTTTGCACTAGCATAAGTTGGCCAAATACATAGTTTGGCATAGAAAATGAATTGGCAATATTTTACACACATTTCAAACCATCTAAAAACTCAATTAACTGCTTAAGAATAAAAACTCTCGCAATTTGAGGGTGTAAAATCTTTCTTTTAAGTGAGGAAATGATATTGAATGTTGGCATTTCTAGCATAATGGTTTGTAAGATGATTCATAAATAACAAATAATTTATATCCTCTTAATTTTTTTTCTCACAGAATACAGGCCAAAAAGCTGGAGCTTCGTGAAAGGCAGGAGAAAGAGAGGGAATATGCTGAGATCCAAGATGTTGTTGGCGGTACCTTCAGCTCAGATGAAGAGCCCACCTACGCTGGCATCGGATCTTTAGACTCGTCGATGGATAGCAGCAGCATGGACCCTTACAACCACCACTACCATCTCCCGCAGAGTCCCCTGAGTCCTCCCCTTCCCATCAGCCATCAGGAAAATGGGCCACCCTTGGAGGCTCTGTATGCCCAGGTCAACAAGCCGCGCAATGGACGCCCTGCAGCTCCAGACAGGTAGGGAGCGCCCAAAGAAAATGTCCATACACTTACAGAATCAACAGTGAGCTTTATCACTCACTACCTTTCTCGTTCAGTCACACGTCATTAACTACTTTTGTGCTTTGGAAGAAATTAATTTACACCTCATCCATAATTTATAAGCAGCGGTGTGATTGTATTTGCTCACTTTTACTTATCATGGTTGACACATGCCCCGCACAGAACAACAATGAATTTCACACAAGGTGAATTTCACACAAGGCTGCCTCGTCCCACAGGGGTTTGTCCCGTGCAACTGGCAGGATCCAAAGGCAAGGTAAAACAACAGAAGGAGCCTATCAGTCGTTTTCCATGTGCTAGAATTTAATATCCTTTTTTTTTCATTATCCTCGGATCACAATTAATCCTCCCCGGTCCCTCACACACCTTTTTCAAAGAGTCACGCTGCATGGGACTTAAGCTTGTTTTTCCACTGGGGGGTTGTATCGTTCATAACCTCCGTGTCAACACGAATATTTGATGTGATGACAGTGCCATGCAGAGCTTTAGTTTCATATTATTGTTTTCATGTTTTCAACCCTTATCTCATATGTTTTTTATATATGTATTTAAGTCCAAACTAAAGTCCACAAAATCAATGTCAATCCAACGTTGGGATAAACAGCAAACAGATGAATAGCCATTGATATCTTCTACAAAACTTTTATTAACACAGAATTTTTAAATTATTCAATTAAATCCCTCCAATCTCACATTCCTCTTAAATCTTCCTCTATCTTAAGATAAGATAAGATAGAACTTTATTGATCCCAATTTGGGACATGTTTGTGTTGCAGCAGCATAAAAAGACATGGCATTGCACAATAAAAATTAAAAGACAAAATATAAACAAGAAAGTAGAAAATATACATGTTGAATTTACAAATGAACAATAACAAGATAAGCATGCGTATTTAGAAAATCCAATCCTATCATACACATATTTGACTAAGAGTTGTCATGAGGGCCATAGGTTTCCTGTAGGTCACATCCAGTGGTGACAAGTCATGAGATTTCTATTCCCATGGTCCTCCAGAACCTTTCAGGGTGTTATTAATGGATCTGATAATACCCACCTCCTGTGATTGACAGCTGTCACCTGGGGGCTTGTGACCTTTCACTGCTGGGCTCAGGTGGGGCGGGGTTGCATATGTTACCAAGACAGTGCTTCTCTATGTGAGTCAGTGTGTCTGTTTTTTTAAGAGGATTTAGAGTCTCCATCCTGTAACACCCCCCCCGTGACAATCGGAGTAGTTATGACAAGGTTATCTGGCCACTCTGATAGCCGGCTCAATCCATGTGCCAATACATCCGGGGCTTAGTGAAGGCCACTGATCCATATGTCCAAAGTGAAGGTAACCTCCACATGTTTCCTGTGGATAGCCTTGTTGTGTCATAACAGCGATCTACTGTAAACCATCCCACTTCCCAAACCAGAGCTCAATAAGAAGCCTGAAAGCTAGACAATGAGGTTGACTTGTAGAAAATGAGCCTGTGTATTCAGATCACAGGACTTTAAGATGTTGGTCAGTGATAGACATGATGCTATTGATTCTCAATAAGCTCTTTGCAGGGATACAGTATAAAAGCCTTTACATAAGACAATCCTTTGAGTGCTTAGTCTGTTTTTTATCCTTCGTTGCCGGAGGGAATATTAATAGCAATCTTCTTAATCGCTCCCATGGAGAAATTAAAAGACAAACATGTTAGGCAAGGAACCTTTTGTACAAGGGGTCTGATTGTAAAGAGAGGCTTATCACTTAAATAGGATTGTTTACATAGTTTTGGATTCTAAGGTTTATTTAGATGTTTTTATGTCCACTTACAATATGGCAGCTGTTCTATATATCTGTTGTGTTTGAATCTTAAAATAGTTTTTATCTTTGAGATTGAAAAACAAATACCGCATAGTGGTCATTAGATAGTCCCTAAAAAAATCGCGTTCAAATAGCAAATAAGTCCTTATCTTTTCTGCTCACTTGTTTTAGCAGTTTCTTAGAAATAAAGAATGCTCACCGTCGCAGGTTTATTTCTGCATAAAAAGCTTAGTGTTGCATGTTAATTATAAAAACAAGCTTATATTTAGTGGAGAACTGAGCTTTAAGAATTGATAGTGCAGTATGGAGTTTTATTTGCAGGCACAGGATTAGCTTTTTGCGAGTGTTGTGATTTGATTTGAAATATAAGCCGATGTTCACCACTACATTTTTGTTTTGCACCTCTCACTGCTTTGCATATCTTGTGTATGCCAGCCCGGCTGTATGCCTGTAATATTTGTCTTGCTGCCTTTGAGATATAATAATAATATGCACTGGTTCTTATTTAGCTCAGAGGCTTTCTATTTACCATTTGCGAAAAGGAGCTTGAAACACATTCACATTCAAGATTCCTGTCACTTGCCTACCATAATAAACATAAACAGCCATTTGCATTTTTAAATTAAAATGAATAGAACTTTCATTGTCAAATACAGCGCCAACAAAAGAGAATTTGCATTCATTTCTGAATGTACCATCTAGCCTATTAAGACAGCAAAATTGGATAGAGAACTTTTTGTTTTGCCATTTAGAGATCCAGTGTGATTTACAATTTCTTTACTTTCTAATCCTGCCACTGCTATGCAACCTAATATTTCGAGCTGCATGACTTCCTGTTTGAAGATCAGGAAAAAGGAAGTCAGTGAGGTTTGCGTAAGGAAGGCTTCTCATTCCTGGCTGTCAGTCAGTCTTTAGTATGAAAGAGCAGAATGAGTTGCGTTTAACCCTGACCTGGATACTGTTACCAGCATCTGAGGTGGGCCCTGGAGAAACACACTGTGATCAAAGGGGCAGATTAAGGATCCTGTTTTAAAGGGATATTTCACGTTTTATTTCCTAGTAAGACATCTGACAGCCAGCCAGCAACTTGTTACAAATCTAAAATCTAACTGCACTATATTAATTTATAAAGTCACACTCTCTAACCTGTTAAGCCCTGGAGCACAGAACTCAAGATGAAGATACCCTTATTACTTATCGTAACTGCACATACAATATATCCAATTAAAGGTGAGACTCCACAGATTATATAGGTACAATATCATCACTGAGCGATCCGAACTCGCGACAGGGGAAGCAAACACAGACATCACAACACGTACCTTTACGGAGCTTTTACGGGAGATCGTCTCAGCGTAGCTGTCAATCTGATCAAAAGACGTGTTCAATGGCATTAAAACGAGAAAAAACGCGGCTGAATCGGTTAATCCAAAGGTCAATAATGTGTCTGTCGCTTTGAAAAAATTATTTATAATCCATAATTCCATTTTTATGTAAAATTCAGAGGAAAAAAGCTAGCTGCTAATGGTAGCCAACAGAGTGTATGCAGCTTCTGGTTTTGGCCACGCGTCACACTCACTCCTTATTTGGTAACGTGTTTGTGTGTGTAGAACTTTCCCTCGATTCCATTGGCTCTAGCGGTTATAAAGAGATTTCATTCGTCAAAATCGACCAAGCCAGAGATATGGAAAATCCACCCAAATTACCCCAGAAGTGGGTTTTTTTTGCTAAATCTCTCTAAAAAGGTCACATATCACTTGTTTTGCATCAATCTTGATACAGGGTACTTATTATATGTTGTACTTTGGATTCCTAAAGCTTTTAGTTTACTAACTCATCATCCAAGGGTAGTTTTCACTCTAAGTAAAAAATAATTTTTGGACGAACACTATAATTTACAGTTTTTTACTATATTCAATCTGAATTTTCTTTAAAATAAAAAAACATCTTTATTGATTCTGACTTTTCTACATCCAACTCACAGGTTTATCATTACTTTGAGAACAAAGATTATTAATTTAACCCTTTTAGAAGCGAAGATGGGAATGTCATTTTCGAGCCTGAGACCTGAAAAACAGGCTCAGTGTTGAACAGGCTAATGCCTAAAACCTGATTTATGACTAGGCACAAGAGTTCTTAAGGGGTTTTGAGAATAGATTCCAGATACCATACAGGAAATATACATTTGTTGATTTCTTTGTTGTTGGTGTACAAAACATGAGAACCAGGTAAACCCATTACCCTGTCACTGGTAGTCACCACATCTCCCACAGCATAGATAATAATATTATATGAGGATATTACCATGGCGTGACGCATCTCCTGATAATCATATGACCTCTATAAGCATCGCTCAACTGCACACATCATCTTACCATGTAAAATTGGTTCCAGCGGCCAACTGAGTGAAAGAAAATTGAATTGAAATTAGCTGAGAGCCTTCCTTTATTTTCTGGGTCTTCATTGGAAAAAATACACAGAATGCTGTGAGTGTTGGAGAGTGACTACACTCAAAATTACTGTATCAGTGTCTTACATCTAAAAGCCACCGAGTCAAACATATGCTTAGTTGGAACAACATCAGACAATGCTGCCGTACCCTGGAGTCTAAGTTCTCATCATGTGGTTTACTGGACATCCCTTAGTGCTGTCATTACACCACAACAGTTCAGTCATAGAGAAGAAGGTTTTTTAGATCGAGTCAACTAATTAGAGACACTTAGAGGCCATTTGGTTGATGTGGGTTGGTGCTCCTTTTAAGGGGAGGTGGGGTCTAAATGCTTGCAATTGCCAGTTACTTTATAGCTTTTGCATCTTAGACTCTTGTTATGCTTCATCTATTTATACACATGTGCATTTTGTGCCATGATAAATACATTCACCTTTGGCTCGCCAATGCTTTCAAAGCTGCACTGTTGTTTATCCACTACAGTTAATATGAAGGGGCCGCAGCTGGATAAATAGCCCGGTATACGCCTCTCTCTCTGATAGACCTTTGGTAATGAAGCCCTAATGGGAAGGTCACTGTGACTGTAAAGCTGGAATGAGTCAGACCTGAGCCTATAAACCCTTGGAGATACAAGGACCCCTGGTTGCTGTGGGCGTCGAGATCCTGGCCATTTAGCCATATCGGGTTTTACTGTTCCTCTACACAGGATC